GCCTTTCACTCGAGCCAACACAGACCATTTGCAAGACACATGCTTGTTAGCAAATTGGAATTCAGTGTTTGCTGCACAGAACCTGCCAAAGGATTCTTAAAGTCATCTGATATTCAAGATAGAGTCTAAAGATGTGTTAACCATCCCTGAAGAGCTGGCTCACGGAAAGCAGATTCCATTCAATTAATATTTATTGAGCACCAAAAGTGGGGACGTTGACATATATTATCTCATTTAAAAGCCTTTCTTCACAGTTTTTCAATAGATGTAACCCTGATAGAAGCACTAGCAGTCTTTCCTGTCCAATGTTTTCTTAAGTTTATTATGCCAATAAATTATCGATCCCTTCAGATGCTTCCTATCCTTACACTAACACAGCATCACAGAGCACAACCCTGGGCCTTATCATCTCTGCCCCTACTGTTTTGCTTCATTGTGTAACAACTTACTAGGGAATCCTTCCTCCATTTGACAGTGTTCTTGTATTTTTTAAATTAAACCCTGGATAAAGATATTGTTTACTGTGCTACTTAGTATTTCTTACATAGGAGCCCAGGAGTTTCACTTTTTTGGGGGAGTAGAAGGTGGAATCTTGCCACTGCAGATAAATACGTAAGTTTCCTTTGATCAGAAACCGAAAACTGTAATACAAAGTTTTTCTTGTTATCTCATTTAAAGCCTAAATTAGTGCCATTATAATAATCGAGCAATATATCTCAGATACTTCATAGCATCTTGTCCTCAACCTCCTTAGCCATCCCAAGTCCTCCTGGAAATAAATGGGCAAATAAATTATGGGAGATTCCAGTCTGGTGACTAAAAGCACAGGCCATGGATGTGAACCACGCTCTCACTTGTGGCTACACTACGTCCGGTGTAGTATTTCATTTCTGAGTCAGTGTCCTCGATTGTGGAGAATGGGGCCATACTTATTCCAAAATCATCATTTCTAATGAGACCCTCCTTTATATAAAGCATTTAGTATAGTTCTTGGCTCATAAATATTTGGCAAATATGTATTCATATTAATGATATTTTGGAATCCAAACTGCTCTGCATTTTATTCCCATTCTTTTGTTGATTTTATTGGTTAACTCTTTGTTTTCTCCAAGCCACTGACCTATGGCCTTTTCACCATCCCTCACCCCTTTCCTTTCCTTACTTTTCTTAAATCCCATAGCCCATCATTATAGTCACAGCTGTGCCACCTTCCTCAACAATATGTTCTTCTCTTTCTTTCCTTTGCTCAACCACCTGGCATAACCCTATCCCTGCTGAATCCTGCTCTCTGCTTTGTCTACAAAGAGACAGTAAAGTGTAAGGCATCAGGGGATAGTTCTGGAGTTCAAATTCCCAGGGCTCAAACACCTGCTCTGCCACCTAATACCTGTGTATCTTTAAGTTGCTTATCACTTCTGTAAAATGAGGATGATAATAATAATGCCTGACTCCTGGATATGTAATGAAGTTGAAATGACACTATACACTTAGACTTGTACTGACCATAGTATGCACTCAATAAACATTATTTGTTATTATTGCTCCACACATGAGTCAGTGGAATGAATTTGGAAAAAATCACATACCTAGACAGGCTGCTTGCACCATAAATGGAAAACCATAGACATCAGATGGGCCCTTGATACTATCTAGAAACTCTATTTGCTTTCTCAGTATGTTTGTTCTCCTACTCTCCCACAGCACTGTGCCATACCTTCAACTCTTACTTTAACTCTCCTCCACTCTCAGCTGATGACCTCCCCTCCTGCTGCATGGGGAAAATAGAAGCCATAAGACAAATACTACTTCATCTGACCATCAACCAATATACAACTACCCACATCTGGACCCATTTTCTCCACCTTCTCTTTAATTCAATGGAAGAAATTTCATTGCTTCTGTCAAAGGCCAACCCCTGTACCTGGGTTACAGGTCTCCTCTACTGTGACTTTCCCAAGAATGTTCCTCACCCTCCTCCAAGGCATATATATATACCCTGTATATCTCCTTCCATTAAGTGGAACTCATGACCCACTCCTAACCAATAGAATATGGCAAAAATGATGAAGTATTGTTCTTATCATTACAGGGAATTATATGAGACTTTACCTCGCTAAGACAGGCGCTAAGATTCCCCTTGCTGGCTTAATGAAGTAAGAGGCCATGTTGAGGAAGCTCAAGTAACAGAGCACTGTGGGAAGTAGAGGTGGGGGAAAGTGTATCTAGGAGCTGAGGGCAGCCTCCAGGCAAAAGCCAGCAAGAAGCTGGGACCCTCAGACCTAGATGCAAGGGAAAGAATTCTGCTCACAGCCTCAATAGACTTGTAAGTGCATTCTTACCCAGTTAGGCCTTCTGATGAAAATACAGCCCACTTAATACCTTGATTGCAGCCATGTGAGACTCAGCAGCAGTCCAATTAAGTGGAACCTCGACTCCTAACCCATAGATACTGTGAGAATTGTTGTAAGCCAAAAGGTTTGTGGTAATTTGTTATACAGCAATAGAAAATGAAGGCATCCCCCCACCAAAACACAGCAAAAAATTCCCATAATGCTGTAGTACCTATTCTAGAGTCTACTGTATCCTATCTTTAAAAAAAAAAAATCTAGACTATATGCCCTCTAGGTATTCCCCCTTCTCTCTGCTCTCTTTTCCAACAAAACTTGTTAAAATAGTTTTTCATATGTCTCACTATGTCCTCACCTCCCATTCACTGCTCTGCCCACTGCATTCACATCATTGCCCTTACATTCTTTTGTCAAGAATACCAATAAGTTCCACATTATTTCATCTAAATGGATATGTCCCTATGCTTATCTTACTCAATATCCCAGTAGTATTCAACACAGTTCACCACTCTCCACTTTTAGAATGATTTCCTCCCTTGGCTTACAGGACTTTACATTCTCTAGTTTCCTTCGACTTGTCTGGCTACAGCTTCTCGTCCATCTTTGCTGGCTTCTCCTCCTACACCCAAACTTGAACAGTGCTGTGCCCAAGTCTGGCCCAAGGCTGTCCTCTCTTGACCTACTGCACTCCCTTTGTAGTCCCCAGCTTTAAATGATATCAACATGCTGCCGACTCCCCAGTTTTTCTCTCTAGCCCTGACCTCTCCCCTCAGCTCCACAACCTACAGCCAGCTGCCCAATTACATTCCCATTTCCATGTCTAATTGTCATCTCGGATTTAACATGTCCAAAAAGAACACTTGATTTTTCTTTCACAAAAATCTGTTGTGTCCCCAGTTTTCCCAATCTCAGCAAATGGCACATTTAATAAACCTTTACATTGGGGCTTCTCACTCCTTCACCCTCCCCCCTAATCCATCAGCAAGTCCTTGCAGGTCAATCTTCACAATAGATGCTGAATTTGTCTACTCTCTAATTCCACTCCTGTCAACCCAGTACAAACTGCCCTCACCTCCCACCTGGACTGCAGCAACTGCCACCTAACTGGTCTCCCTGCTTTTCCCTACTGTCCTCTACAATCCATACAACAGGAATTTTTTTAAAAAACACAAACTACCTTATGTGCCTTTACTGCCTAAGACTTTCCAAAGACTTCATACTCTACTTTAAAAAGCCCACCAAGGGGCACCTGGGTGGCTCAGTCGTTAAACACTAAGGAATCACTACTCTCGTTACTCAATGTCACTGGCGCCGTGTGACTTGCAGGCTTTTTAGCAGACCATGGTAAATGAGTGTGCTCACGGTCTGGATTCCAACAAGCAACTGTCAAAAACTATCATCCCCAATGACTACTTGCTAAAAATTTCTCACTCCTAGAGCTGGTACTTCCAGGGTGGTCTAGGAAAGAAATTTGTGCCTATGTCTATTCTGGGGATATTCTAAATGCTGATGTGTAGCATTTCTTTGGAATTGCAATTTCATGCTTTGAGGAATGCTTTTTTTTTTCCCCCAAGCCCCAGAAGATAAATAGTCTCTATTAAGCTCACTTGTTTATGTGTTTTTTTTTTCTTCCTGATACACCACTATCCTCTGAAAACTCCAGTAAATAGTTACTCAGTTGATTTTAAGAACCACTCTGGAGAAAAAGCACTAACTTCATCGCCTACCACTTGCTGCCCTTAAAACTTCTTAGCAACATACACTGTGCATGAACCTCAACGTGGTTTGCTTTGTCCAATCGCATGCCTGAAAGCCCAGCCAGTCAGTTGTGTAATAATAAACCCCTTATCTCCTGAAGATACACAAACGGAAAGATCTCAGTGCTTCAGTGCACAGGAGACTTCACTAGAAATCTCAGCAGAAACTCACATCCATTTTAAATGCCAAATTACCCCCACTTTTCCCCGATTTCCTCTCCCCTCCGCATCTGCAATTCTGAGGAGGGGAAAAAACCCAAAATGCTAAACAATGTCGAGTTTAAAGGGGAGTGGGGGGCGGGCAGTGCCAAAAGCTGCCGGCAAAATGCATTTAGAAGCCAAGGGCTTGGTTTTCGCTTTGGGCTTACCGGTTCCTTTACAAACATCTGTGATGGAAACTCATCAACAATTGTTCCTGGACGAAGAAGGGATTGAAAGATTGACAAGAGAAGCTGCTTGCTAGTTTCAATAAGCTTGACTAGCCCTCAAAATAAGGAGGACACTCCTGCTTCCTCCGCGAAGAATAAAATCTCACCCCCTCCTACCTCGCGCGTCCCCACCGGGCGCAAACCCGCGCCTACCTCGTCCCATCTCCAAGTTCCCTGCCTCGCCAGGGAGAAGTGTCCTTTCCCTGCACCCACACCAGACCTTTGCAACGCGACCCGGCCTTTGAGGAACTGGGGAGCGACCGCCTCGGAAAGGTGCCGGGGGCCCGAGGTGTGAGCTCATCAGTTCCCTCGCTCTGCCGCCGGCGCCGCCTGACACACCCCTCCCGGCCCGGCCTCCACCGGTCGCCAGTCCCCGGCCTCAGCCCGCGCGCCTCGCCCGGGGGCCCGGGCCCGTCTCTCTCCCCGGGCTGGCGGGTCCCGCGCGCGCCGCCGTGCCCAGCACGCACCTTCAACGCGCCCCGGGCCGGGCCCTTGGGGACCGCACGGCCGGGGCCGAGGGGCATGAAGCGCTCCTCGCTGTCCTCCTCGTCGTCGTCGCCGTCCACCACCTCGACGACCACCTCCTCGTCCTCGTCCTCCTCGTCGTCATCCTCCTCCTCCGCGCCCCCTCGGGGCTTCTCCTCCACCCGCCCGAGCCCCCTCCGCCGCCTGCTCCCGCCTTCCTCGTCCTCGTCTTCCTCCCCCAGAAGCAGCAGCACGGGCGACGAGGCGGCGGCGGCCCCGGCGGCCCCGGCGGCCCGAGGGGGGCCGGTCCCGGCGCTGCGCGGCGGCGGCGGCAGCGGCGGCCTCCAGCTCTCCGGGGCCGGGGCCGGGGCCGGGCCCGGGCCGAGGGGTGGGAGGCCGGGCAAGGTGCCTTCCCTGGCAGGCGCGGCTCCGGGCGCCTGCAACGCGGCGCCCCCCCGGCGGCTGCCCAGGCTGGAGCGCTTGGCTAGACGCCGCGCCTGCATGCCTGACCGCGGGCTGCCAGCCGCGGCGCGGAGCCGGAGAGTTTGTCACCTCCTCCTCCTCTTCCTCCCCCGGGCGGCCGCAGTGGTCGCAGGCGCCCCGGGCGCGGGCCTGCGGGGGGCTGCGGGAGCCGCCTCCCCGGGCTTGCAGCTGCCACTGGCTGCAGAGGCGCGGGCGCCGCCTTCGCTGGACCGGCCCGCGGGGACGCCGGCGGCCGGCGGCTACGGCGGGGCGGCGCGGCGGCCGCGGGCGGGGGTGGGTGTGAGCGAGCGGCGCGCTGCCGCCTCCGCCGCCGCCGCCGCCGCCGCCGCCGCCGCTGCCGCCTCGGAGCCGCGGGCCGCGCTGCGCTCCATGCGGCCGGCGGCCGGGCCCGCGCGCGCCTCTCCCGGCCCGCTGCGCCCGCGCGGTGCTGGCCTACAGCTGCCGTCCCTCGGCGCGAGCTGTTTGTGTTGTGTGTTTTCCACCACCGCCCCCCTCTTCGCGAGCCATTCCTCACAGCTCTCCGGTCCCCCCGTTCAGACAAAACCCGGACTGGATTTATTTCCCCTACCCTCAGCCTCCGCAAATCTGGTGCTTCTCAGCCTTTGGCCCAGACGCTGGGGCAAGCGCTACCCCGCAGCAGATTATTCCTTCTGCTGGGTGGACGGAAGACTTTGCTGGAAGTAGGGTTCTTGGTCAAACTCAGACTTTGAAGGAAGTAAATTTGCCCGCAAGCCATTTTCATGGTCTCTGCTGTGCATGCGACTACTCTTGACCTTACGTGAAACAGGAGAAGGTGTATCAAGCTGAGATTTGGGGCCACTTCCTAATACGAATCATCAGACTCATTTGCGTTTTCGAGATACTGGTTCATGACAGTGCCTGCCGCTCTCTCAGTCGCTTTGACCGCACCGTTCTAGGCCCTGCCCATTGGGCTCTCTGGGCGACGTGCTAACTCTCTTAGTCTTTGAGCTTTCCTGTCTGCATGTTTACCTTAAGTGCCTGATTTTTTTTTTTTTTAAAGATTTTATTTATTTGAGAGAGAGAGAATGAGAGACAGAGAACATGAGAGGGAGGAGGGTCAGAGGGAGAAGCAGACTCCCCGCCGAGCAGGGAGCCCGATGCGGGACTCGATCCTGGGACTCCAGGATCATGACCTGAGCCGAAGGCAGTTGCTTAACCAACTGAGCCACCCAGGCGCCCTTAAGTGCCTGATTATTAAGGGCTGCATTCCTAGCTTTCAACTCTCACCATCCAGTCCGTAGACCACTGGCACTATCGAGGCCTTTGGAGAAACAAACTGGGGCAAGAGTTCCAGATTGCCTGAGTTTGTTATTTTTTAAAGACTAATATGAAGTAAGAGTCTGGAAATCAAGCACATAACCATATAACTAATGACACTGTCACTTTCTGAGGATTTCTAGGTATGATAAAGAAAAGTCAGGTGCTACCGTTTGGGATTAGGATATATAATAAGCCATACTCTTTACATACAAATCATTCGCCAAATTCCATCTTTGTAGTTGAGGTCTGAGGAGGATCTAACTCACCAAATGCTCTGGCAGGTGCCTCCACGAGGCTAGTGTAAAAGATGTCCTCACCCTCAACTTCCTTTCACTGTAATTACTGTAGGAGATTTAACATCAGGTGCCCTTTTAGACACTTGAAGGGAGCTCATTAGATGCTCACTTATGGTGTCTTCCAACTGTTGAACATTTCCACTGGGATGATGACAAAGATTCTAAAATGAACTTTTTGTTCTCCCTGAATCGGATTAGCTTCCTGATATACCTATTTCAGGTAATGACACTCTCATTTAATCAGGCCCAAAATAGCGGTATCATTTTAACTTGCTTCTCTACTGTATCCCTAGAGGCAGTTGCCCACAAGTCCAATCCATTGTTCTTTCTGAAATGCCTCTTGCATCCACCCTTCCTTTCCATTTCCAAAGTTCCTACGTGTTTCAGTGTTTTGTGACTTCAAAAGTGAAAGTTGCTAACAGAACTCTCTACACGCAGTTTCTCAGCGACGCACCTCTCCTTAAACCCCCTGCAGACACCACCACCAGACTCATCTTCCCCAAACTCCAATTAGATTATAGCATTTCCTGGTTGAAATTTTCATTTGGACTTATTCTATGCAAGAATTCAGAGAGAGAAAATAGTTTGAGCATTTTAACAGGTGTGTTTGATCCAAGCATGGAACAGCAGGGACCAGCCAAGAAGTGAACTTCTCAGTATTAGTGAGTGTTTCCAAAGAATAAAGAAGGGTCACTGAAGTGGCTTCATCCCAAATGCAAGAAATTTACCTTGGTAGTTGGGAGATGATTTTAGAGAGAGGCAGCAGGGTCTTTCTCTAACCAGGAAGAATAAAGATCAGGGGCAAGGACTTGGCTGACAGGTATGGGCAGGGTGATAGAAGGGAACAAAGCTGTGAGACAAGTGGGCTAGAGGAGCCAGTGGTCCCGGGAGCCAGAGTGTCTGGGTTTGAATCCTGGCTGTAGAACTTACCAGCTATATGCCTTTACTCACCACCCCTCTCTGCCTCAGTTTCTTCATCTGTAAAGTGGGGATAATAGTAGCACCTACCTAATAATAAATTTATTTATTTATTTATTTATTTATTTATTTATTCTTATGTTAATCCCCACACATTACATCATTAGTTTTAGATGAAGTGTTCCATGATTCATTGTTTGTGCATAACACCCAGTGCTCCATGCAGAATGTGCCCTCCTCAATACCCACCACCAGGCTAACCCATCCTCCCACCCCCCTCCCCTCTAGAACCCTCAGTTTGTTTTTCAGAGTTCATCGTCTCTCATGGTTCGTCTACCCTTCCGATTTCCCCCGCTTCATTCTTCCCCTCCCGCTACCTTCTTCTTCTTCTTTTTTTTTCTTAACATATATTGCATTATTTGTTTCAGAGGTACAGATCTGAGATTCAACAGTCTTGCACAATTCACAGCACTTACCAGAGCACATACCCTCCCCAGTGTCTATCACCCAGTTACCCCATCCCTCCCACCCCACCCCACACTCCAGCAACCCTCAGTTTGTTTCCTGCAATTAAGAATTCCTCATATCAGTAATAAATTTCTTTTGTAGGATAATGAGTTAATGTGTGCAATCATCTTAGAAGAGTGCCTAGCACAAGGAAGGTCTATATAAAAGCTCATTATATTAAATATAGTGATAGCAGTCTATAAACACAAAGGCTTGGGTTACTCTCAAAGAATAACAGGGTAGCTCTCTTTTTAATAAACTCGGAACTGTCAATAACTAGCAAGAACAATGCTTTTAAAGCCAGACTACATCTTACCAAGGGGCTATGGTCAGGCCAAGGATAAAGCTTTTTGTGTCTGAAATTGCCGTAGATGAAAGAAAGTAAATGTTTTCCTGAGAACTGAGCAGAAAAACAGAGTTAAGTGAGCCAGTGGTTGTATTTGTGGATTAGTAGAAGAGGTACTAATTGACTCCATTGGACTTCCTTTCAAAACTGCTATATATGCTTTGAGATCAGCTTGTTCTCTCTCCCAGGGTACCTCAACGGAGCTCGCACACCCATTCCCCGGCCCCACTGGGCCCGAGAGACTGCCCTCTGAATGGGAGAAAAAGATTGGCCTTAATATTGGGACCACTAAGTGCAGGCTAATGTCGCAAAAGCAATTTGGCTCCATCTAGGCTTTGAGGGATGAGAAGGATCTAGATGGGCAAGGAAAGCAGCGTTGTGCAGGCCACTGAAGACCAACCTCATGAAATAAGAGGACATTTAATGGGAAGTAAAATCAAATTACCTAATTCATCAGGAATCAAGAACTATCTCATGATGTGAGCTCATGGTGCCCTGTGCTCGTGGACTCAGAAGTCAAAAAATATCTCAAGGTGCCAAGCAAATGGGGAGGAGTCATTGCTGCTTTGTCCCCCATGTTCCCTAAACATAACACATTTTTACTTCCCCAAACTAGGATGCTTCCCACTAAGGATGAGGCGTGTCTCTCGGTCATAGGATAAGGAAGACACCTTCCAGACAGTCTGATTTAACACATCATCAGATGAAACATTCCATCATTCTTTCAATAGGCCAAGTGCCAGGCTCTGTTCTGGGGATTGGTATGCAGCAGTGAACAAAATAACCCTCAGTGGGGAGGGAAGTAGACAATAACCAAAGAAAACAAATGAATTACATGGTTTCACAGATTTAATAATGTTAAAGAGAAAAATAAAGCAGAGGAGGGGATAAAGAGTGCTAGAAGTTTAACATAAAGAAATAAATAATATTTAATGTTTCATTTCTTATTTTTATTAATTGATAATTATTACATATAATTATAATTATCTATAATTATATTTATTATGATTTATTTTATGTATTGAATATATAATATTTCATATATATTGAACATAAATAAGTGTATTAAAGCAAACATAAGAATAATATGGGGAAAAGTGTAAAATTTGAATGAGAATGTGCAGCAGTGACCACGTCAAGCCTTACATTGAACTCCATCTTCTTAACCTTGGATAGGATTCATTCTCCTCTGGGAGAACCTGGGCAGCAAACAGTGTGAGAAACACTGATGAGGAAGACTGAGAATGGGCTTTGCAGTAAGAACCACTCCATAACCACAGAACAACTTCGCTGCCTCGTGCCTCGTTTCTTACAATTCTTAAACCTTGGCGTTCTGAGCCCCAAAAATACCCAGAGCATTTTTTTAAAAACATGTATCTGAGAAACTATAGCCAAAAAAAAAAAAAATCAGGCTCAGTTTGACATTCTGTTCAATTTTTAAAAATTCAGTCTTCAGAGAAACAATAATCATGACCCCCAAATCAGATTTGGCTATCCAATGAGGCATTGCCATAACCATGGCAGAAATACAACAGACTTCTACTCATCAGCAGTAGCTCTTGCATATCTTTGTCAACTTTCAGCCATTGGATTCCTTGCGAATGGTAGCTCCTTCTAAAAGTTATTTTAAAACTAAAAGTAAAATTTTGCCCTTTAAACAGTTTATAAAAGTAAGATTAGGTTAGTTTTTCCACACTTCTGGGAAACTTAAAAATGATTTCAGATGATGACTGTCATCCCACCATATGAAAAATAGATTAAGGCTAAGAGAATCACTCATTTATTACAACCTTGGGGCTGAAAGCCTGTGTAAGTCAGGCAACAACCTCCACCCAGATAAATGTTTCTTCCATGAGCAATTAAGTTAAGCCCTCTTTAACAACACAATGTACTTTCCCCGTGGTTCTTTAAAATACCTCTCAGAGTCTTGAAA